TTCATTACCATCCTCTCTGTGTTCAAACACCAAATCATTAGCATACGTATTAGAGAGCAGACGGTGCTAGATTCTAGGGGTATACCTATGAAGAAAGCCTTCTTGGTCCGTGCACATACAGAGCTTGCAGAGAGTCTAAGAAGAAGGCAGATGATACACATTTACAACAAAGGTGATAAGAACCGTGCTGGGAGCTAGAGGATGTGAAGCAGGCGTGACGTGACCTGAGCCATGTGTGTGCATGTGTGTGTGCGTGTGCGTGTGTGTGTGTTTGAAAGGAAGGCCTTTCGGAGCCTGGAGGATGTCCGATCCTAATCCAGTAGGTGAGATGGGGCTGGAGACTTGAGAGAATAGAGCAGAGGGAGCTGAGAGCGAGCGTGACCATCAGAGAAACTGAAAGTAGTTCACTCCGTCTCCTGTGTATGCTTTGGAGGCTGAGAAGCCCTTGGGGAGAAGTGATGATGAGAGATGAGTTGAAGCATAAAAAGAGACTAAAAAATGGCTTTGGAAAGATCTGTTAAGAATTATGGTCCGGAACTGGGAACCTTGATTGTTTTTTGTGCCAGGAACCCCTCTGGCAGTCTAACGAAACCTATGAATTCCTTCAAGGAATAATGTTTTTGGTCGAATAGAATGCGTAAGATTCCAAAGGAAACCAAAACCACTGAAATACAGATCTCAAAATATTAACACCCGCCTTGTACTATAAGTGCTTCTTTATTAATGGCGCCACATAAGACCTAGCAACGGGTCTGATGAATGCAATTTCAAAACCGTGCTTAGCGCAAGCGGTATTTTGAGATAAATGTAGCAACTGTGATGAGAACATGGTGTAGGTCATGGTTTGTTGGCTTTGTATCTCTCTAAAGGGATTTCCGTTTCAGCAACAAGTTGGTAGAAATAAACTCCTAACTCTTGCCATCCAAACCCACGACCCTCCGGAATTCTGCTCCTACTCTCTCTAGGCGAGCACTGCTCCGCCCGAGCGTCAGGAGCCATTTGAAGATTGTCAGCAGCGACCGAAAGGATCAGTTTGCTTTCAATGGAGCGCTCTGCTCTGCTCCGCCTACACAGGGGGCACGTGAGCTGTTGGCTGTGTTTACCGGAAGGTGTTGCAGAGCGTGTCCTCCTCACCCTGTTCTCACTGCGTCCTCTTGGGAGGACTCCGGCGGAAATGCTCTGTGTCTTACAGGGGCGGTTACACACCTCTGGGCCTGTCAGGAAAGGGTGCCTTTTACTGTCTAAATTATACTTCAGTGAGCCAGACTTTTCAAAATGCAATCATCAGTCAGTCAGTGCTCGTGGTCAGGTGACAGAAGACGGTAGTCTATGTCAGAAACGGGAGTGTGCGCACACAGAGGCCAGCTGGCGAAGTCTCAGCTACAGCATCTGCTGCAAGCACTGTGCTAGGACGGCTTGTCCCCTCATTCTGCTCCTTCTGCCAGGGGGCGTGCATGGGCGTCCTGAACCGTGCGAGGTGAAGAAAACCCCTTGGGTTTGCAGACTCCCATTCGTACTTTAGGGTTCTTCGGGGGACTTTCCTTGCTCCCTCGAGACTTTGAGGAAGTCCACTGGCAGCGGTCTTTATTCAGATGAAGGCGCCGATACTCAGTACAATTGTGGAGGATAAGAAGCCATTGTTGGGGAGGAGGGATGAGATGGGAGACGAGCTGAAGCATAAAGAGAGATGAAAATGTGACTTTGGGAAGATCTGTTAGGAATGACGGTCCAGCACTGGGACCATCATGTAAAGAATAACGTTCTTTACATTGAAAAGCATTGGAAAGGGGATTAGCAAGATGGACACCTGTGATGGGTGTGGGATGGGTGAGGGGAAAGTGGAAACATGACTGATATTTTGAAAATCTACCTTGTGTTTCATTAGATGCTGCTTGTTTGCTCCTAGCTGGCAGAAAAAAAATATTCTGGGGCAGAGAGGGGACTGATAAGACGGAATCTCCTGTTAGGAAGGTAGGTTATGTTAAATCTTTTTATTTTTTAAATTTTTTCATGGGACATTGGCCTCTCCCTGTCTGCTTGCCTGGGGGCCAGGAAAGGGTGGAAGTTAGAGAGGAGTCCTCAGAGGGACTGACATTTCTGCCTGAGTCAGGGCTCCCGGTGGACACCAGCCTCGGGCTCCCCCCTCCCCCCCGCCCCCCGCAGTGAGCCATGCAGATGCCGTGGCATAGAGACCTGCCCAGGTCCTGGCACCCGGGATCCCACACTCTTACTCAGAGCAACCGCTGGGCGATGGCATCGCTAAGCATCCAGTCTGGTCTGTAATATCAGTGCCCCATATGCCACCAGGAGTGACTCTGGTCCCCACCCCCAGAGGCTTATGGGAAGTCACTGCGATGCAATATGGCCCCAGCAGCAAAGGCGTCTGGGACATGTTGGATTCTTAACTCTCCGTAACCCCAGGCTTGGCTGACGACCCAGAAAGCCGGAATGCCACCAAAGACGAACGCCATGCTCCCAGGAAGGTTAACGAATGTATAGAGTGTGATCCCTGCATGATGTTATCTGCTAACTCAGGAGAGCACTGTTCTTTCTGGTGGTCTACTAGTAAGTGACTACCCACCATCTGGTTTTACTACAAACCCCTACAAAGAGACCCGGTCCTGGGAGGGAGGGATTCTTCCCGCCCGCCCGGCACTGGCAGCAGCTGCCTTGCCTGAGTATGTACGTTTCTCCTATTAACGCTCTTACGGATTTGAAGAAGGCTGTGTGTCAGTTCTTCGGAATCCACCCTGAATTTAGACTTTTGGGGCTTCCCCCCAACAGAGGAATCCCTGGCAGTGATCCCAGCAGCTGCGAACCCCGAAGTTGGGACCCTGTGGACACGACAGTCAGCCCTGGGTACCCAGCTGTCGCTGCCCCGTTATTCCCGCCAGGCTGGGTCCAGGGTACGACTCTTCCCTGCGGGCACTCAGGACGCTGGCTTAGTCGGCTGTCCCCTCAGGCGCTCCTGCTGGCTTCGGAGTAATGCAGTGAGGCCTTGTTATTCTTGACCTATTCTGAAATATTTTTTTTAAAATCATTTTTTTGAAATTAAATTTATTGGGGTGACATTGGTCAACGTGATCATATAGGTTTCAGGCGTGGGTTTCTATGTTACAGGATCTGTATATTGTACCACGTGCCCACCACCCAAAGTCAAGTCTTCTCCTGCCACCATGTATCAGGACCCCTATTCTGAAATCTTAACCTTGAGCCGTCTAGGGCCAAAGTCATAAGTAACACAGGAGAAACAAAGTCAGAGCTGAAACACAGACGAACAAATGAGTCTTCGGTTCATATCATATTAACACTTGGTTTTTAAAAGTCTCTTATCTTGCAAGTTTATCTGAAGCTTTGGTTTCGGGGTGCCAGCGAGAGGAGAGCTTCAACCATGGGGCATATACAGAGCTGAAGAAAGAAGATGTGACTGCTGGCAACGATCAGTCTTCCAGGTTCCCTTTGCTGCTTTCCTGTGCGTGTCAGGAGTTGATCCTGTCATTCAGCAGAATAGGGAGACTTCATCTAAAATTGAAAAATGAAACGACTGCTTAGCAAATAAATCACTATTTCTTATGCAAACATCCACGGCTACTAACAACTCCATAATCGTTGTACCAATTAACTACTAAGCACTCAAAAGATGCCTTTAAGTAGATGAAAACTGTTTAAAGAGGGCCTATTCATCTTGCGGAAAGTAAGAAGAAATGGGTGCAAAATGTAGCAAAAGTTCTCTCATAACTACATGATTTAAGGACAACGAACAACGGAATGGCCGTCCAAGGCGACTATGGATTTTTCATCCCTAGAAGTTTTCAGGAAAAGGACTAAAACCCACTTGATTTATAGTCAGATAGACATTTCTCCGGCCTCAGAGCCCCTCCAAGAGTCTATTACTCTGACGTTCGTTCATCATGGCGCAAGGTTGGGGGTTTGAACTGCTTGACAGTATTGGGGCATGAGAACAGATAGAATGCACCCTAAATCCCATTACTGCATTTACAATTATGACGCAGCTCTCAGAGGAGTAGTATTACACTGCTGTTTGTTCTTCATATGCCACTGGCAGAGGCTCCCGGGACGAACAATGCGAGCAACAATTCATCAAGAAAAATGGGAACTGGTGGTGCTTGAACTGCTAAAGTAAATATTAAAGTAAGCTTATAAGTATTGACTAATACGTGTGGTCTGCTCAAGGGGGGAGAGAGGTAGGGACTGGCATGGCCAACAGTGGAATTAGGGACGAAGCGTATTTGAGAGGGTTCAGGAATATTCTGCCCTGTGGTGGCTTGAGATGGGAAGAATTGGAAGCCGTTCAAGCAAGTAAAGATGCCTGCTTTCCACTCGGGTAAGATCAGCAGCACACAGGCCCATACAGACATCCTTGTGTTATGCGAATGAACCTGTTTCCTCACGGCCCTGGCTCCGCACACCACCTTTGCTCACTTGGGAATGCCCTTCACCATGGAGAGGGGCCTGGAGAAGAGAGGGAACCTACTGCGGTTTCGATCGTCGTGGGACTCAGGTTTTCTCTCAGCACCGCGTACACACTGGGCGACATCGGAAGAAGGTCTGATGGAGACTGTGGCTCGGTTGAATCGCTTCGGCTTAAAGAAATAACAAGGAAAATAGCGAAGAGGATGAAACAGTCATAGCGCGTGTGGCTTACTGTGCCAGGAACGCGTTTCCAGGGCTTTATCTAGTTGTGACACTGAGATGCCTCATGCATCACCTGACATCACAGCATCAGCGGCTGTGGAAGGCATGGCCTGTCACCGGCAGCTTCATAACTACAGTCAGGGTAGAGCAGGGGTGGGCAAACTTTTTGACTCGAGGGCCACAATGGGTTCTTAAACTGGACCGGAGGGCCGGAACAAAAGCATGGATGGAGTGTTTGTGTGAACTAATATAAATTCAAAGTAAACATCATTACATAAAAGGGTACGGTCTTTTTTTTTTTTTAGTTTTATTCATTTCAAACGGGCCGGATCCGGCCCACGGGCCGTAGTTTGCCCACGGCTGGGGTAGACTGTGGTGTGTCTTGAAGACTAGTTCTATGTATTCAGGAAAGCTAAGTGTGAGCACAAAACGCTTTATTCTCGGGTATATGTGTTCTCTCCACCCTTAAAGTTCCTACAGAAAGGCTTCTTTTTTTTTTTTTATGAGTTCAATAATAAACATTTTACATGCGACTAAGATTACTTACATTGTCGAGATGGGGATAAAAACAGAAGGAACATAACCTTTGTCCCCCTTTTCTGTCGGTCGTGAAACTGGAAAAGAAAGTGTTGGGAAACACGTTACCGATATTATTGATGAAATCAGAAAAAAGTCTAGAAAGATATGAGTAATGCTGAAAATAAGAGAGATGATACAAAAGCTTATTGATTCACGAAACTCTTCAGTTGAGTATTTTAGGTGTGCAGAAAAGGTGCAAGAAGAGAAAAACACATCTTTTGGCAGGTCCAATCTAACTTTACATATGAATGTCTCTAAAGTGCATGAGAAAAATTGGGAATCAGCCTGGCCGGTGTGGCTCAGGGGTTGAGCGTCGACTTATAAACCAGGAGTTCACGGTGCGATTCTGTCAGGGCACATGCCTGGGTTGCGGGCTCAATCCCCAGTAAGGGGCATGCAGAAAGCAGCCAATCAATGATTCTCTCTCATCATTGATGTTTCTCTCCCTTCCTCTCTGAAATCAATAAAAATATATTTTAAAAAAAAGAAAAACTGGGACATCAACTATATTACTTGCTTCTACATTACATTTAAGTCTGATTATAAAGACTGATTTATTTGTGTTTTGGGGATTTAAAGTGATTCCGTTCTTTTCATTAAAACTGACACCAATCATGATCTTATAATTTCACAAATTTTTGAAGCACAGACATCAGTGCTACTAGAAGCACTACTGTGCTGTGGTCACAGAATGTGCAGACGTCAGCCTTGGAAACAGCCCGTTTCCCTGCTGTCCTGTGCTGGACTTGTGCTTGCTCCAGCTGTCAGTTGGACCAACCGTCATTTGTTTCATTGACATTTGTTGCTCCATTTGATCAGAGGTAAAGACACTTAAGGTCTGTCGTTGTTTTATTTTGTTGTTTGTTTCAGAAGGGGATGAAGTAGGGTGGCAACAGTCACCCTACAGTGACGACGGTAGGACAGTCCACAGATGGTGCTCATGGATCTAGTTGCTATAGATGAACATTTTAATGGATGGTTTATACTCTCATTAAAGAATCAAAACGGTGAACTTACATTACAGCTGTGTAGCTAATTTCATGAATGTTCTTGCATAGACTCAACCAGTGTTTAACCACATGCCTTCTGTGGCCAGGATTCTTTTAGGCTGTTAGCATATACCCAGGGAGGCGGGCATGTGGGGACTTGTTATTGGCAGGCCCAGTGTTGGGGGATGTTACGCAGACTCCCTGGTCCTCTCCTGGGCACATGAGTAATACTGAGTTGTGAGATACAGTTCCATTTAATTTTGATTATAATGACTGATTCATTTGGGTATTTATAGTAATTCAGTTCTTTTCATTAAAACGGACACTAATCAAGCCCTAGCCGGTTTGACTCAGTGGATAGAGCGTTGGCCTGCAGACTGAAGGGTCCTGGGTTCGATTCTGGCCAAGGGCATATGCCAGGGTTGTGGGCTCAATCCTCAGTGTGAAGCGTGCAGGAGACAGCCAATCAATGATTCTCTCTCATCATTGATGTTTCCATCTCTCTCTCCCTCTCCCTTCCTTTCTGAAATCCATAAAAATATACTAAAAAATAAATAAACTGACACCAATCATAATCATAAGTATATAAAAATATCATAAGTATATATCATAAGTATATAAAAAATATATCCTATATAATGAAACACTAATATGCAAATTGACCAAACGGCAGAACGACCGGTTGCACACTGATCACCAGGGGGCAGATGCTCAACACAATGAGCTCCCACAGGGTGAGCGCTGCTCAGCCAGAAGCCGGGCTCATGGCTGGAGAGTGCAGCGGCAGTGGTGGGAGCCTCTCCCTCCTCTGCTGCAGGCAGGTGGTAAGGAGCGAGGGGTCCCAGACTGAGAGGGCCCTGGACTGAGAGAGGGATGTCTGACTGCTGGCTTAGGCCCGACCCCTGGGGCCTAAGCTGGCAGGTGGACATTCCCCAAGGGGTCCTGTCCCAGACTGCGAGAGGGCGCAGACCAGGCTGAAGGACCCCCCTCACCTCCCCAGTGCACGAATGTTGTGCACTGGGCCTCTAATATATATATATATATAAAGCTCATAAGCCCTGGGCTTTTTTTGCAAAAAACAGACTTGCTGGACTTGTAACAGGTTTCTAATTACCTTCTCTTTGTTTGCCTCTCCCCCAGTCACAGAAGTGAAGGTTGTGGGTCCGGAGAAGGAAGGAGAAACCCAAACTCTGCAAGTCGGTGGGAGAGGCCCCCACGGCCACGGCCACGGCCACGGCCACGGCGAGGTCTGGCCACAGCCACGGATCAGCCAGCAGACAGTCCCTTTCCAGGAACCGCTGACACGTCACTTCCTCACTAAGGTTTTGACCTCCACGTAGTCTTTGGATCTTATACTCAAAGAGGAACTTCGTTTCCTTTAACCCGGTGAGAGGCTATTTTCCAAAATATAAAGAAAAGAAAGCAAACGGAAAGAACCTGACCTTCGCAGGGCTGGGAGCTGTAGTGTTTCCCGAAGGCTTTGTCCTTGGGGATGTCGGGATAGAGGTACTTCAGGGGGTTTTCAGGGACGTTTTCGGCCATAATAACCTTGTAGTCTCGGAGGATGTCGGCGAAGGGCAGTGCGGACAGCCGGCCCTTATTGTAGGGCTCCACAGAGTGGAACCTCACTTCTCCTGGGGAGACAGACAGCCGGTGGTCAGCTTTCCTCGGGCATCCTCTGTGGCCATGCCTCCTGCCCGCGGTGTCTTCACATCGCTGGTCATAACAGTGCCAGCCCCCTCTGCGGTCCGACAGGACAGATCGCCCCATGAGCCAGGACACCGCCCGGGTGGGAGGAAGTCAGGGTCCCTGTGATCTGGGACGACTGTACCACGAATATTCAAACCCACTGACAAGCCGAATTGTTAAGGGCAGACATAGCATATTGAAAACGAATTATAATTACAGGGAACATTAACCGTGCTCTGTCAACCACGATGGCTCTGTTCTCATTAGAGAAAGCACATCGAACCTGGCTGGGAGCTGTGCGCCCTGGTATATGGGAACTCACATCAGAATGCAGTCCATCCTCCTTCTGAGAACTGCCTGTCATCATGGAAAGATTTACAACCTCGTGGCCGAGACAGTCTAGTCTGGAGGCACCTGCTCTTTACAACTTCCAGCCCCCATGGCCTGTAATCTGGTCCCGGGGTGCCCAGAGGCACCCACCCTCTGTGACATGCCCCCCTCCCCCCAGCCCACATGACTTGTAGCCTGTTGTGACTGTCCCGTGCCCACTTTCCCATGCCTGTAATTCCCACTTCCCCACATGATCTTTGTCCTCCTACCCAACATAAGCAGCTGGCTGATGGTGGGGGGCGAGCAGATGTTTGAAGCTGACCTGCTGCTCTCCCACGCTGCCGGCAGGATTGGAAAAAACGCACATATGAACCAACCCCGTCTCTGCTGAATGGGCTCAAGTAGCGACAGGCAGCCAGGACCCCTTGGTTGTCTGGTTACAGAGCAACACCCCAGGCACGGAAAATGGAAACACCAGTGGCCAAGGCCCACAGTCCCTGCGCAGGAAGGGCCCGCGAGCACGCACCGCTCTCAGCGTGGTCCACCCATGTGAAGGTGATCCCGCCCAGGTGGCTCTCGCTGAACCGCAGCAAGAAGGTCCCGGGCATCTTGTCCTTCAGCAGGAGGCGCTCCTTCTCTTTGCTCACAAAGCCCATGACACACCTGGGAAGGCAGCAATGGGTCGTATTCTCTGATCAAGGGCAGTCACTTAGTGCATTTGCATTCTCCATGAATGAATCCACAAAGAGCAGACCTAAATTTGCTTTGGGAATAACCCAAAGTTAAATGTCTGAAATAGTTGTCTTATACAGAGTAAAGTGAACATCAATATTCTGTGAGGAACGGAAGACACGGCAGCGATCTCCCCGCCACAACATTCAACATGTTTAAAAAGAGAAGAAAAAGAAAGCCAACAGCATAAAAATAAACACCTAGTGAACTCGCATGCAAAACATAAGCCGTAACTCACCCATCGATCCAAAGGGGGAGAATGTGCTTCTTAATGAGATCTAGTATTGCTTCAAGCCATGTCCAGAAGGTGAACGATTTGCCAGGTAAGTGTTCCTGTCAGCAGAGACAGACACAGCACAGAATTATTCCCCAGGTGATGCTGATGGAATAATTCAAGTCCCTTTTTCCAGGGGAAGAATGTCTTTTTAAAAAAATATATATTTTTTATTGACTTTTTATAGAGAGGAAGGGAGAGGGATAGAGAGTTAGAAACATCGATGAGGGCTGGGCTATTCCGGTCAAGGGCATGTACCTTGGTTGCGGGCACATCCCCAGTGGGGAGTGTGCAGGAGGCAGCTGATTGATGTTTCTCGCTCATCGATGTTTTTAACTCTCTCTCTCTCCCTTCCTCTCTGTAAAAAATCAATAAAATATTTAAAAAATAGCCCAAATTGCAAACATCAATATCCAACTGGTTGTTTACAGTGTATTTCCACAATCTTAAAACATTCTCATCTTTCCAAATTAAATGCATGCCGCAGCCCTAACCGGTTTGGCTCAGTGGATAGAGCATCGCCCTGCGGACTGAAAGGTCCCAGGTTCGATTCCGGTCAAGGGCATGTACCTGGGTTGCAGGCACATCCTCAGTAAGGGGTGTGCAGGAGGCAGCTGATCAATGTTTCTCTCTCATTGATGTTTCTAACTCTCTGTCCCTCTCCCTTCCTCTCTGTAAAAAATCAATAAAATATATTTAAAAAGAAAATAAATGCATGCCGCAGGTGAGATGAACAGACTATCTACAGTTGCCAGCTAGAGAAAAAGGAGCACTGTTAAAAAAGACTATAAATGCCGTCCCCCCTTCCCCTGCGGGTACCTTGCAGAACTTGGACCAGGTGAGATGACCATCACTGTAGCTGGACTGGGCTACAATGAAAGAAAAGAATGACGTTGTTATTAAACAATGAGACTCTTCAATTTGGTGCTCAATTTAGATTTTCCTCCTTCTCTCAAGCATTTCTCAAGCCCCTGCTCTGTGTTTATAGAGTATTTAGTGCTAGAAACAGTAAACCTCTGTCATGCAATTTATTATAACGGGGCGAATTCTTTTCCATGGAGGAGCTACAGATAGCTTTAGGAAGCGGGGAGGTGTCTAGGACCGAGCCTCCATGAATGGACAGGAAATACATCGTCCGAGGGGAAGGAGGGGCCCCTCCAGTAGCAAGAATAATGTAGGGTGAAGCATACTGGACATGAGTATGGTTTATATAAAAGACAGTCAGCCCTGGCCGGTTTGGCTCAGTGGATAGAGCGTTGGACTGTGGACTGAAAGGTCCCGGGTTCCATTCCAGTCAAGGGCACATGCCCCGGTTTTGGGCTCGATCTCCAGTGGGGGGCGTGCAGGAGGCAGCTGATCCATGATTCTCTCTCTTCATTGATGTTTCTATCTCCCTCTCCCTCTCCCTTCCTCTCTGAAAATATATTAAAAATATATTTTAAAAAAAGAAGACAGTCAGAACAGCCTAGTGTTGGTGAATAAACATAAAACCAATTGGCATACGTAGACGAAGCCAGATTCCAGGAGTGCTAACTCTTCCCATGAAAAGAATGGCCAAGCCATCTATTAGGCAATAAGGAGCCATGGGCAGTGAAAGGATCCAGGAAATTCTATCTAAATTTCCCTTCCTTCCTTCCTTCCTTCCTTCCTTCCTTCCTTCCTTCCTTCCTTCCTTCCTTCCTTCCTTTTTTCTTTCTCTCTTTTTATAGAATGATGTTTTTGTTTAGTTTTAAAATATATTTTTATTGATTTCAGAAAGGAAGGGAGAGGGAGATAGAGATAGAAACATCAGTGATGAGAGAGATCATTGATTGCTGCCTCCTGCACGCCCCCTACTGGGGATCAAGCCCACCATGTGGGCATGTGCCCTGACCTGGAATCTAATCGTAACTTCCTGGTTCATAGGTTGATGCTAAAACTACTGAACCACACCAGCCGGGCTCTATCTAAATTTCTAAGAAAAGTATACTCATAAGAATACTTTGATAAAGATCTGAAAGTATATGGTGGCTATCTATGCTACATATTTAAAAGATTTATTCACTCACTAACAAATATAAGTTGAGTTCCTACTACTGTGGCTTATGAATTAAATAAGGATCCAAAAGGATATTTACATTAGTAAATGTTGTAACATTCTTAAAGTCCTGATCTGTTTAAAAGCCTATTGATCACATACAGTCACAGTACCAGCGGCAGCCCAGCATCACCTGTGCATCCAACTTAACCAAATCACACAGGTTTCAATGCTGCTCAAATGTGTCCTTGCCCCACTTTAACTACAAATCTATGCAAACCCAACTATTTTTTTGGTGCTAAATGTGTTCACCCTAAACTTGTCAAAATAGAGGGTATCTTTTAAAATTCTTTTAGAAAAAGCTTAACACTATAGTCACTACTCTGAGTACCAATGTCTCTATTTTGCAAACGTTAGAAATGTCAGACTGAAATGTTCTTGCTGGAAAGGATTAAGTGTTACCTGGTGGGTTTTAATTTCCATTAGATCTTGTGGCCCTGGAATCGGCGCTTTTCCAGGTGGTTAAGGGTCACTGTGATATGAATATGAGAGATCCAGGCGCCATCAGCACTGCCCATCATAACCAGCGGAAATGGCATAAGAACACCCGGAGACTGGAGTGTGGGGTGGGAAGGAAGGGGCTTTAGGACCGGGCAGGCCTCGCCCGTGCCTTCACGCTACGACACAGCAGCCATGCAGCGGTGGCAAGTTCCTGACCTACCCTCATCTATAAGATCAGTATTCTGCCTTCAAGAACGCTTGAAGGATAATAGAGCAGTCAGCCCTGTGCCTGGTGCTCAAGAAATCGTGGTGATCACTGTTATGACTAATAGAAGCAACGTCCACCCCGGCGCTTTACAGCACGGAGTGCCACGCACAGGGCCCAGGCCTCGGCACCGGGCACTCACCTGTCAGCTTCTCGGCCAGCATGTTGAGCTGATCGGAGTTCAGGCCACGCCCCACGTACGAGGAGAACTGCCAGCTCATCACCTCCAGGAGCTGGCTCAGCGTGGCCGGGGGAGGGTTGTTAAAGAAAACCAAGTTCTGAAATAGAGTCAGAACGATGGTTACATGTCACATCGAACACCCTGTGATCCAATAGATTCCTGATGTCCACTCCTTAGGCCAACCTGAGGGAGCAGTGCGGATACAGAGGGGAAACCGAGTTAGTTTGCAGGGAGGCTCTGTAGGCTGTGCAGCTGTCTCAGGAGCTCTGTGTGATGCATCCCCAGAGTCGTCCTCCAGGAGCAGAGGGGAGCTGGGGTGGCTGGTGCTGAGTGGGAGGGTGGCTTTCTTAAAGAAGAAGGATTGGGGGGGGGGGTGCAGCCCCAGGGCACTCGTAGGCTGGAGAACAGAGAAGTATCCCGTCTCCCTCCCACATCCTGGAGTTGGGTGAAGAGCTCTGAACGCCTGTAGCTCCTAGGCAATGACGTTTCATTTCAGGGGTGTTGGCTGTTCTTGGCTTTAACGACAGGGTGACTTCTCTAGTGAGTTCTGTCTAGAACAAGGCCTTGCCAGCACAAGGCCGCCCTGGGCAGCTGGTCTGTCTCAGATGCCAGGGCCCAGAAGCTGGGAAGGAATAGCATAGCGCTGAGTCATTTTCCATGCTGTTTCCTTATCAGGAAAGACACGAGAGCTGACTCAGCCGGCCTGTTCCCATGGCTGGACCAGGCAGAAGAATTCTTCCCTTTGGAAGGAACATTGGCTTTGAGTAGAGAAGAAGAAATGTTGTTATTTGCATCTGACCTCTTTTCTCTAGAGTCTAGACCAGGGGTCCTCAAACTACGGCCCGCGGGCCACATGCAAATACAAATATTGTATTTGTTCCCATTTTGTTTTTTTACTTCAAAATAAGATATGTGCAGTGTGCATAGGAATTTGTTCATAGTTTTTTTTTTTTTAAACTATAGTCCGGCCCTCCAACGGTCTGAGGGACAGTGAACTGGCCCCTGTTTAAAAAGTTTGAGGACCCCTGGTCTAGACCCTGGTGGTTTCCAGGATGACGCACTGAGGTTTTGTAAGAGGATCAGCGGGAAGTGCTTACTCATCTTTTTGCCACGCCCTCCCCTGCTTGTTGGTTAAGAAAAGCATCTGCTGTCTGCTTGAGGCCAAGTTCCAATCAATGTCACAAGTAACCACAAGATAGCACTGAAACCCACCTGGAGCCTAGAATGGATTAAATCTGCAATGAATGTCAATGGGTTAAATAATTACACAATCGACTCGAAAATCTGCACCATCAGAGTGTAGTTAGGCAACACCGACGTCCATTCTAGTTACTTATTTGGAAACCAGTTCTCTGCCTCCGTCGAGGGGTCTGTGTGAGGTGTGGGCAGAGTAGTGAACAGACAAGCACAGCAGCCATCACATTCAGGAGCACGCGTCTCCCGTAGCCCAGTCAGCCGTCGGCAGGGTGACCCCAGAGCTCCCTCCGATGCACGTATTGGGGAGCTGACCAGACCCTCCATCTGTCACCTCTGTTGGCCTGAACTCTCTCAGGGTCCACGCACATTTGAACATAATACTTTGAATCTGACATGAAAGAGGAATCATACAACTAGGTAGATTGGAGTTCTGAAATACAGCAACCCACAGGACACGACGAAATTTTATTTACACACAGATTTTTTTTTTATGCAGATGGGTTTCGTTGACAAAGCAAATCCAATGGAATTAAAGGAGGAGAAATCGGAATAGAGACTCTACCTGGGAATCGTTGGTTGACACATTGTACCAGATGATGGATGCCCACGCGTTAGGTAACTGACTGACATTGGAAATCATCACCACAGGTAAGGAGCTGGTCTGGTTTAAAAAAAAAAAGCATAGTTATTACAGGTAGGTGCACCTTTACATGATTTTAGACTTGGCCCTCTCCCCTCAAGAGCCTTCTCCAGCCAACCTCTGCTCCCATCCTGGTGTCTGCACTGCTCCGGTCACTACGATGATTTGTGAAGGCTCATATATGCTTGTTGAGCACATATGAGTCAAGGTACAGGGAGCAAAGCAGCTGTAGACACAGGAATCCTTTCTAAAGTGCTCGGCCAGTCAGCCTCTTTAATATCTTCCCTGAGACCATGTGAGTATCTATACCTTCTTATATCAGGTACTGCCTAAAACACAACTAATTCGAGCTTGTAACGATCTAGCCACTGTTCTCTCCATAAGTTCCATGAAAGAATTGAATTTTAAATTTATCGCTGAGATGGATCAATATGTTCAAATTATGATCTGACACCTAATGAACGTCAGTACTAGACATGAGAGTTTTAACTGGAGAAAACGGTGAAGTAAGCTCTACGGGAAAACAAAGCATTATGGGAGATGGCATTGCATGGCTTGTTGGTGCAGAACTTAACTCAGTACTTTTGGTGCTGCAGCTTCCCATCTCATGGAAGAAACAGACTTTGACAGACTGGCCTGGGAGGCTGAGCAACTTTCATCAGTCCCTCCCCAGTAACAGAGGTTAGAAGGCCGTGGACAGTGAAATAACCAATGGAGGAACTTCATAGCTCATGGAAACAAGTTTTGGGGAAAGAGATGAGTGAGGAATCCATGATCAATTTTATGAACACGTTTCCATTCAGTAAGACAAAACAGCAAAGGCGGAGCTCTAACATAATACATCCCACAAACAGGATTGTATTCAGGGTGTGTGACAGACACTGCACTTATTCGTTCATTTACTCAGCAAACGTTGAGCAACTGCTGTGTGGCAGGCACTGCGCTGGGCGCTGGTCACGGAGGACCAACGAGGCACGATGCCCCGCCTTCAGGGCGCTCACGGTGACCATGTCCACTGTCCCCAGGGTTTTTTTTGTTTTTTTCCCCCCAGGGTTTCTTTATTCCTTCCTTGAATTCGATGGGGAATGTTAAAAGAGGGTCAAAACAAGGTGCTCTTGGTGTTCCTATTATTTATCTTTACATTAGAAAAAGGATTTGTGTGTGGGAGTTAAATTTTTGAAAATATATCACAATGTGACATGGCTCAAGGACACTGATTTCTCTTTAGGTGTTCCCGAGTATCCCCGACTCAGGAAATCCCAGGAAACAAAACACACACACAATCTTCCCAACCAATCATTCACTAGGCCTGTGTATGGAATTCCTAATGCCCGTGAGATTTTTATCATTCAGATTCAACCAGAATAGTCTTTGTTGACTGATTTGTAAGCATTTGACGTATTGATTTTCTAAATTAAAACAAAAATAAGGAATAGGGATGTACTAAGACCTAGAAAAGACTGAGGTTTTTATCTACAAATGCTGACCAGGTCCTGAAGACGTTAGTAGTAAATAGTAGATGTTTCTGGAAACCCCTACCTCCAGATCGATCGTCAGGCCGTAGAGGCAGATCTGTGCTTCAAAGGTGATGGAGTGAAGCTCCTCCGTCACCATGTGGCAGCCCTGGGGAGAGAGAAACGCGCCTTCACTCTTCAGACAAACGCAGACGTGCTCTCTGTGACAGGCCTGCTTCTACTAGTAAAAATCAACACATTCTCAGAGTGTAAGCCCCCAACATTCCCCAGGATGCAACGGCTCCCCTTGTTCTTTCACAAGTTATTTAGAGTATGTAGCACAGAGTTTGGGTCATCTTCATTTCCACAAACAGAACAACGGCAAGCCTCCAAAACAATATACTTTCCAGCTTTTAAAATTCTAGCATGGTTTCATCAGCTGAAATTCAGATAAATAGCTCTTTCCTTTTTAACTTTCAGAGATTAGTCCTTTGACTTACCAACAAAGAACAAAAGCAAGCCGTGTGTGTGTGTGTGTGTGTGTGTGTGTGTGTGTGTGTGGCTACAACAGAAGCAGCTCGGTGTCATAATACATTTGTTTAAAAAGAAAGCAGGATTTCCTTCTGGTGACTGTTCCAGCTGGAAATGTCAATAGCATAACAGCTGGGGTTTTGTTTACTTTCCAATTGAGTGAAACTCTAATCTAGATCTCCCAGTGCGAGTGGGGGGTGAGGGTGGCAGCAGGCTCCCTGCACCCCTGAACCGGGGGTGGGAAGCGTTGGGCCCCTGAGGCTTGAGGGTGAAGAGGGCTGACCAGCAGGGGCCCCAGTCCATGCAGTGAGGCCCATGCCTCCCCAACCCCGGGCAGGGCAGGAGGTCAACTTTCTGGAGCCCATGAATCACAGGAACTGAAAGCGCGCTCTACGAGGTCACGCTGAAGGCAGAGGTGAGGTGCTGAAAGGGGAAGATGCGGTGAAAGTGTACAGGAAAGCCTGGTGGGTGTGGCTCAGTGGTTGGGCCTCCACCTATGAACCAGGTCACAGTTCGATTTCCGGTTGGGGCACATGCCCAGGTTGTGGGCTCGATCCCCAGTGGGGGGCATGCAGGAGGCAGCCGATCAATGATTCTCTGTCATCATTGATGTTTCTAACTCTCTCTCCCTTCCTCTCTGAAATCAGTAAAAAGATACATTAAAAAAAAACCTGTATTGTTGAAAGTATTAGAGATGTCCCCCCCTTCCCCTTCTAGCCCGCCCGCCACCCCAGGCCTTCACCACCCTATTGTCTGTGTCCATGGGTTATACATCTGTGCACACAAGGTCTTTGGTTGATCTCTTCCCACCCGCCCTCCCTGGTCCCTCATGAACCTTTAAGCACTTTGCCACGTGCCAGGACCTGCAGCTTTGTCATCATCGAGAGCTCCTTGGCCTGACCCCAGGCTACGGAGCCAGAATCTCAACAAGACCCCCAGGTGGAATTTGTGAGAAAACCATTCTCGGTGTGGTGTATCCACGTTCGCCTCAAAAGGGATCTGAGAAATTGGGAGATGGTGTAGGAAGCTTAACCAATTTTTAAAAAATCACCCCTGTGGGAAAATGAAAACAGAAGTGGAGTTACTCGACTAGAAGCGTCCGGGTGGGGGAGGGGGGTTGTGGGTGCAGAGTCAGCTCGGGGGAGCGGGGGTCTAATACTGCGTTAATAACAAGGCAGAACCAATCTGATTACATTTCAAATATTAAAAATGGTTCTCATATGATGGCATGGCTAACAGTTACATGAGGAAGACTTTACTGACAGCAGGTGTTAAACTTAGGGTTTGTTACGGAGCAGGAAGTACAGAATTAAAGACTCCGTCTCCCTTGGGTTCCATCATTGATACCTTACGTTGCCTGCAGGTAGTTAGATTCACTAGGTGGGTTGCTTCTTACTGGGTTAGTGAAAAGTGATGTTAGTGAAAATTCTGCTTAAAAACCCCTTAGGCCACCCTAAAAATTACTCCCAGCACATTCAGCACACCAAACACACAGCCCCACCCCCATGTTTAAACAAACAAACAAACAAACAAACAGCTGTTTCTTCGGTTGAGCATGAGATAAAATAGTTGGCTTGTGTTTAGGCACAAAATGGAACAAAACCCCACATATTTTACACAATAGAAAACCTCACTGCCCTATGCGATCCGCAACCTCCTGGCCATTACCAGGTGCCTCTCCCCATCTCACTGAGGTCGATGGCAGCATGATGCAAGCCAGCGCAGAGCGGGCGAGAGGCCAGGGGCAAGCGCCCAGGAGACCACATACCGTCTGTCTAAATATTAACCATTCTAACTCTAGTTAACAAACTGTGGGAGTGTGGCCAGCCTCCTGCTTTGACATCTAAGCTGCCACATGACCTCAGCGGCCAGTTTAACTTCCCCCAGTCTCCTGGGACCATGTGGCCTGGGGAGAGAATGGTCACCCTAGCCTATTGCCCACCCCAATCTCCTCCACCTCTGTGAGGGCCTCGCAGGCCACTGAGGCCTCCAGGCCCCTGTGATTGTGCCTAGGGATGCTGGCATTGCTGGTGACACCCATGCTGGGTAGAATAAGGCAGAAGAGGCCCTCGCAGGCCCTGAAAGCAGGTTGAGGTCTTCCGGGCGAGAATTCTGGTCCTGGGCTCTGGGGGAGCAGGTTGCCTTAAACCCAAAGACCATTCCTTGTAGGGAGGCATGGCTGGAAGACAGCCAAAGGGAGCCTTTTTGAGTCTGAGGTCTCGTTCCTACCTGATTCTAGCCTCTAGTTTAAGTTCCATGATTAAACCTAAGTTCATGGGTAATTTCCTCAGATCTCTGAGTTACGGCAGCCATCGAGGTGTGAGAGCCCGGGCCTCCACAGACACTCAGGGCCGTCCATTCACTTCGGAAAACGAGGTCATGCTTTAGGATTACATCACTGGACTGGGATGGATGGTGAGAGGTTTCCTCGGTGATTCAGACTAGTATCTGATATTTACTTAAAATCCCTAATGCAACTGTGAGGCACGTTTAGAACAAATCCATCAACGCAGCTGACTTACAGTGCACATGACTGGGGAAAAGTGGCTCCAGCCAAAGGAAGCATCGTTAACTCTCAAAGCCTGCATGGCCCCCGCTCACCGTCTCTATTACTCCACCGTGTAGTTCACACCAGGACCCTATTCTGTTTCATGCTCCCAGGATTCATTCCTTACAGATCAGGAAACTATCACAGGTAAGATGAACCATTCATGTCTGTATTAAAGGCCATTATAACCATCTGAGATGATTGTGGGGTTTAAAAGATCCACATTCATGATAATTCTATGATATTGAATATTATAAAGGGCTCCACCTGGGAACAACCACAAGCGAATGAAAGGCAGGTACAGATGCCGCCATATTCTTTTTGTTTCCGCTGCTCAGTGCCTAATAGCACACCCTGAGCTCCTGGGATATGTTCACAAATGGTTATGGCTTTTGACGTGAAAGGAAACCTCTGCTAAGCCAATAGGACTGGGGTAAGGGTGATTTCCATCTAAATTTCTGGCCATAATCTATGGTATTGTTGCACATGGAAAACGATATGGAATAGGCCATAATTACAATACTCCGCTGCCTTTTGGAGCCTACTTTTATATATTTTGTGACTCTTCAATTGTTCCCATAGCACAGAAAGCAATGTTCAAGTCTGTGGGTTCTTTTCAATGTACATAGGAGTCATATTAAAATTCTGTCAACAGGGGGAGCTCAAAGAATAGTGTAAATAGAATTATTCTGATCTGATAAACTTGAAAAGGGAAGAAATGAAAGGATTCTGATGTATACTGTACAATTTTGTTATTATTTGGAAAGTAAGAAGAAATACATTCAAATTAATATACTAGTAAGTAGACAGTGTTAGTAAGACTGGTTGATTTTTCTATAGTTTTTCATCTCTAGGGAAATCCAAGGTTTTGTTTTTACATCCATAAGTATGACAATGTATTGAATATTTACATTATTCCCATTTGATTTAGTTGAGCTGCTAAGAGTTCAGAAGCATTGCGCTTCATCTATTCAGACTTAGTCAATATTACTCAGGGATGTCAGGCCGCATGAAGTGTCAATCACAACTCCCGCCCAAATTCCAGTTAGATGGGCTTTCATTTATCATGTGCTAATGTTTCAATCAGGAAATTCGGAAAACCTTTATGGGTTTCTATAAGGTAGGAAGAATAGCTCCCACTTTTTTGGTTTACTGGAATATTCTTAAACTCAAAAGCTCTGTTCATGTGACATCTGGGTGTTCGAAGCTCCGCCCTACGCCAAGGGTCTACCCAGGGAGAAGGCTTAGCTCATCTTTGGTGGGGCTGTGAGATTTGCCAAATGATCTTTCCGACAAGATTGAGAGACTGAAGCATTCTGGGAAGAAAAAATGTGGAGCATGAAATCTGTCGTGAGGGATCTGTGTGGTTTTGTGGGTGGGTTAGATGGATTGTAGTTGAATGCAGGGTTTATAAAGTGCTTTTTTCCCCCAAATAATTCAAAGAGATGTTGCATAGGAACTGTGAGGTATAAAGCCAGGAGGTAGGAGCCACACACCAATTGTGCCAGAAACCAGCCTCATTGCCTTATATCTGCCTTGTGTGGATGGCTTTACATTGGCAGCATCTCTGAGCAGAGAGCGATGGGCAGTACTACCCTGATCTCTGAGAGGGAAAATGCAGTATTTCTCCAACAGATCATTTGTCAAGGATCGCATGTGCAGTCATGGCCAGAATGGACTCAGAACCAGGTTTCCTAACCCTAAGTATGTAGGGCACAGGCAAATGCCCTGGTATCTGGGTCAACGAGATCGATGGTCTCCAAGACCACTGCCAGCCCAAGACCCGGCCACTCTAGCATTTACGGACTCAAATGTGAATACGTGGACTGCATCCATTTGTCCTTTTAATCAATTCATTCAGTGGAATGCTTCTTAAATAGAAGAGCAAGGTAATTGATACCATGAAATAACTGTTTTTCACCTGTGGTTTTCACATAATTTGTCATGATGTTTGAGACTTAACTCTTATTTGTAGAAAATGAGTAATTTTAAGATACTTTATAACAAAGGAGGAGTGACTAAAGAAAGTATGGCACACCTGTAAAATGAAATACAATACAATCACGTTAAACCATGTTCTTCAAGAGTGTTCAAGGTCCTGGGAAGCTGTTCACCACATATTGCTATGTGGAAAAAAAGCAGGTTATGAAGCAATGTGTCTATATGAAATACATACAAAAAGTCTAGAATGATGTGAACCAAAATGTTAATAGTCATTTTCTTAGGAGGGTATTATTATCTGTAATTTCCTCCTTGTTAAAAAAAATTTCTTATATTGTCTGCCATGATCAAGCTTTACATTTATAATCAGAGAAACATGAATTTGACTTTATATCTATAATAATAAAAGCATAATATGCCAATTAGACTGGATGTCCTTCCGGATGTCCTTCTGGACGAAGCTAGGGCTGCAAGGGAAGCCCAGGTCCGGGGTGCCTGCCGGCGGCCAGAGGGAAAGCCCGGGTTCCGGGTGCCAGAGGGAAGCCGGTGCCAGTAGCCGGGGGGAAGGAAGACCTATTCTTGCACGAATTTTGTGCATTGGGCCTCTAGTAAAAATATAAGAGGCAGTTTAAGGGCTTTATAAAAATAAGATGTTACAGGATTATTTCCTAGAAAAACTCTAGAAGAAAACATTTCCTACCTCATTTCCTTTGCTTCCGGCAGTGGACTTCATTTCCTTTGGTTGCTTAGAAAAAGAAAACAGTGTTTACATGGAGACACGTTATCAGCTACATATCAAAATCACCTACTTTAGTGATTTTCTTGGTCACAATTTTGAAAGTAACCCAGATGTCTTCCAACTCATGGGACCTGATAGCTGCCCACATCACAGGAAGCAGCTTCCTGTTCGGCTGCCAGTTCGGAAACTTCCATCGAGCTCAGTGAGGAGGTGGGCAGACCACTAAGCCTGTGTGTTTCAGCCAACATTTTGGAAAGAGGCGATCATGCTGGATGCGCTTGAACGTATTCAGCACTCCTTTGAACCTCGAAGGGGTCATCCGAGCTAAGCCGTGAGGATTCCCAGGCCTGTGAAACCCCGCCTGGCACAGAGGACTGGGAAAGGAATGATGGGTCAGCTGTCCAGGAAGGACTGGGTACCGTTAGAGGACAGGGAGACTGCCTGACACAAAAATGTCCATGCTATGGATCACGTACTGAAACAGACAGAAAGCAAATGACACAGTGTGCAGTCTCATCTGGCTTTAAAAAGAATGAAAACAAAAATAAATAGTGTTACCTCAAGGTGACGGGATTACAGGTGATGCTTTAATTTAAAAATTTTGCTTCTCCGATATTCTAAATCGACTTTTCTATTGAAAGTGATTAAAGTTATTATGCAAAAATACATAATGAAAATGCTCTGCCACTAGAAGAGCAGTGTAGAGACTAAGGTTTGGGCTTTTACCGCTTTACTAATTTATTAGCAAACACTGTCCATTACTAAAAATTCCCTGAGGACCGAAGTTAATCCTAAGCAAAAAAACAAGTGCGAGCTAGAAGGATGTATAACATGTGACTCCTCGTTGCATTTCATTTAACAGTCTCACGTGGTAGGAATTCAGCTAAAAGGAAATGCCCCCTTCAGTACTGAAGAGCGAACAAAAACAAAACTAAAAACAAAAGCCAGCATGAGTTTGTGTAGGCAGATACCGTTCTGTGAACGTCAGTTTTGTATCTGTTAGAAACTAGGCCTTTTGAGGCTGATTCTGAGGCGTCCCAACGTCCAGGGAAGATACTTCCTAAACGTTAACAAACCAGATGAGTAACACGTTTCTGGCGAGACCAGCCACAGGGTCCTTGCAATCTAAAAACGATGCAAAGCACGAGAAAGAGAAGCGAGAAGAGGACTCTCGGTGGAGAGGAAGTGGTGAGCACCAGAAGCAGCAGGATGCGGCTGGTCAGAGCTTTCTAGACATGCCAAGGCAAACCGCAGCTGTCATGCCCGGAGCACCCTGTCCCCCAGCTCACCGGTCTCAAGTGGACGTGCCTGCAGCCAGACCTGCTGTTCCGTGATGGCATTTCTCGGGGGTATTTAAAAAACGAACCCAGGAATGGCTGTCCATTACAAGATGGATTACTCTTGTCATTATTACCAAAATCTAGGGCATCGGTGCTCAACCTGTGGGTCGTGACCCCTTTGGCGGTCGAATGACCCTTTCACAGGGGTCGCCTAAGACCATCCTGCATATCAGATATTTACATGACGATTCATAACAGTAGCAACATTACAGTTAGGAAGTAGCAATGAAAATAATTTTATGGTTGGGTCACAACACGAGGACCTGTATTTAAAGGGCCAGAAGGTTGAGAACCACTGATCTAGGGACCAATTACTAAATATACACTAAGTGGCCAGATTATTATGACCACCCCATCAGTACTTCATTGACACTTCCAAAAATACTGAATATTGAAAACTTCCTAAGCAAATACTCTCAAGGTTTTATTATTATGATTATTATTTGCATAACTAATTCACTTCATTGTACTGATGGGGTGGTCATAATAATCTGGCCGCTCAGTGTATTTAGGTACTACTTCCCTGGTAAGAACTCAGACCTGAGTTTAGCTTCGGTGTTCCTTCTACCATTTTTAATTCTTCAATGACAGCATGTTGTTATAGCTCAACACACCCTTTAATCTCACGTGAGAAACATGAAGAAACAACATGCATGGGGTCCCAAGGCCTATTAGTGAAGATGTGTTTGATTTGAGAAGGAAGAGAAAGCTCGAGTAAGCTGACTGCGTACAGGTACCAGGCACTCACCAAGTGGCGGAACTCTACCGAAAGGCTCCCGTTGGAAGATTCTTCGATGGACATGGCTTTGACGTGCGTTCCACACAGCACAAACCTGCGATTACTGGGGAAGAAATCTCAGCCGTTGACATGGTCTCAGGGAAAACAGATGTATGACAACAACAAAGAGTTCCAAAGTACAGGGCTTACCTTAGAGTGGAAACATTCCTGTAAGCACAAGAAGATTTTTAAAAATAAGCTACGTAATAGACCTGGGAAAACTTTTTATAACACTTGAGAGGATAGTAGGCAAACCTTCATCCCCAGCGTTTAGAGCAAAATTTTACAAATAAGCCTTCACTGGCGTTCTGTTAAATGGTTGAACTTCAAAGTCTAACATTGCATTGATATGTAATGTTAGAGAAATAAATGTAAACGTTTGAAATTATTCTATAAAATAAGAACAGTTCTTTTTAAAGAGTCTTACATTTTCATGTTTCAAAATGAAATTAGGTACTTACTTGTCAATCGATGCTTTCACCTTTACCTGATAATTTAGTTCTGGCAATTTTATTAGTAGTCTGGAAAGACACATAAATAAAGAATCAAAGGTAAAAATCACAAGTTCTACAAGCCTTTTGTACATTTAGAGATTTAGATATATTTATGGCATATACATATAAATCAGATTACATTATCTCCCTATGTTAGTGTGTTTTAAACATGTTCAATTCCTCTTTAGTTCTCCATGTTACTAATACTGACATCAGCCACTTAACATACTGACAAACATTTGGGAAGTGTTTCCATATTGCTGTAGTTGATGTGTGTTGGATAATACCTTGGCTAGGTCATAAAAATAGCTATATATTTTGGTTCAAGCCAAAATTTGGGTTAAATGTATAAACATAAGAAAAATCAAAGTCTATTGACATGGCTTCATTTTATTCTTGTACATTCATGCCCTGGGGTCTGGGGAGTCCCTCAGCCCAGCCAGCGCCCTCTTGCAGTCTGGGACCCCTTGGGGGATGTCCGCCTGCCGGCTGAGGCCCACTCCCCGCGTGAGCCCAGCTTCTGGCTGAGTGGCGCTCCCCCTGTGGGAGTGCACTGACCACCAGGGGGCAGCTCCTGAGTTGAGCGTCTGGACCCTATTGGTCAGTGTGCATCATAGTGATTGGTCGTTCCACTGTTGGGTCGATTTGCATATTAGCCTTTTATTATATAGGATTTTAAGAACACATTTTGTAAGCTTACTAAAACGAAATGTTTTGATGATAACTGTTTTATGGTAAAAATATTGAAAGACTAGGCCTCTGGTAGAATATGAAAAATTCAAACTTCAATACATTTGCAATCTTTAAACATACTCTATTTAAGTAACAGCAAAAATGTTCATAATTTAAAAAGACATAATTTCAAATCAAGTGATTATAGGTCAGAATAACTTTCTTTAATTCCTTAATCTGGTGAGGGGCCCTTTTTTCTTTTGCTTTCCCCATCTCTTCCAAACTGTACCCTCTCTCTGTAGGTTCAGTTCGGTTTCTGAGATAATCACTCACTTACTCATTCATTTACTTATGCCCTCATCCCAAACTTCATTCATTCACTCAGCAGGTATTGAGCTCCTCATACATATTCATTATGTGCTCTAGGTACTGGAGTACTGGGGTAGTGAAGACTGGGAAAGGGAGAGGTGTGGACTCTGCTATACATAAAAGGAAGAAGTCCACTCACATATATGGAATATAGAGAACGGTGGAGTAACTGATGGGCATGAGAGACATATAAACACAGATACTAAACAGCCCGAACAAAAGGCGGGTAGAATGTTGTGAAGGTTCCTTCAATGTCCTGCACCAGACACAGGACTGAGTTCAGGGTTTGGACTATGATAAGCGTGTAGTGCTGGTAGCAAGGGTTGGTATGCAATCAGGCAAGATGGTTTCCCTCTCTGCCTTCCTCTCTGTCCCTCTGCAGGAAGGGATCTGAGTCACGTGATGACTTGCAGGGAGTCCCCTGTTACCTCTCCCTTTGGAATAGAAGGATGCAGTGCTGTGGTAGAGAGGGGTTGAAGGGACAAACTTGAACGCTAAGTAGAGGTTCATCTATTCAGACAGGGGGGCACAGGGTCCAGAGAAGACAATGGGGACCCAGCGGTCAGGGAGAAGAGAAGGGCAGAACACTCACACCAGGGGCTCAAGGTCTTTGTCTCATGCAACCAGTTCAGACAGCGTGCCAGGTGGTGCCATTCAGGGACCTGTTCCACTCAGAACTCCGCGTAAGCAGTCCCGACTCACCCCCCCTTTTTGCTCCAAAGAGTATCTTAGATTTCACATACCACCCATGGGGGCATCTCAGGGGAAAGTAGGATGCTCACTACCCCTCTAATTTTACCTCCGTTTAGTGTATTGTCTTCTGGGTTACAGACAGATGAGAGGATGAAGAAGCAACTATTTTTGAAAATTATAGAATTTTTACAAGGAACTTGGCCTTGGCTTTAGTTCTTAAGTCTTAGTGCAAGATTCACACAAGGAAATGACCAAGAATTTCGAGGAGGGTTTTTGAAATGCAAATTGAAGACAAAAAACGTCTTCCCTGTAAAAATGCAGAGGTGATAAATGTGAACTAAACTTACTCTGATGATCATTTTGCAATTCCTGAATGTCAAGTCGTTATGCCTCACACCTTAAACGTATACAGTACTCACACTAATTATATCTCAATAGAACTGAAAGAATAAAGTAAGAATGGAGTTCCAATAGTGACATGTGATCAGGGACCCTACTATGGCATCCTGGTTCACCTTGGCAGCTTTACCTCTTATATTAGCCTAGGATTTCAGCTTTCTGGAGGTGAATGGTGACTAGTGATTTTAAACTGTGGGGCCCTGGAGATTGAAGCATGATGCAAAATCTTTGAAAGTTTGAAGTCAAACTCATGATTAGGTGCCATTAGGGACAACGCTACATTTTGGTTGCTCCTGCTACTGGAAAGGATCAAATACATCGCCAAAGCAACCATAACACAGAAGTCATATCCATAAGTAAGTATACACTGAAAAACGTGGTGTTGAGTGTTTTCTCAGAAAAGCTACTAGGCTGGTCACTGGGTAGCACAGGGGAGACCGTGCCATGTATTTCCTGGAATGGACATTTGAAACTTCCCCTAATCTGTCCCCATCTATCCTCTTCATCCGCTCTCTTCCCGCTCACAGGCTTAGGAAACAGACCTCAGAAGTCGTATTTCCTGGCTTCCTCCCTGCGAGCCTGCTCTCCTCTCCTCCACTCTTCCCTCAGGGCCTTCCTCGGTGACTCGGTGACCACAGTGCCTTCTCCGTCTCTGGTCTTCGCTCCCAGCAAGCTTTCATGGTGCTCGATGCTGTGATTTCAGGCTGCCATGCTAATGCCCCCTCATCGTCACACTTTCTACCAGCAGGGCCCTCACCTCCACATTCCTGCGGGCGCTGACCACAGCTGAACGCCGGGCAAGCAGGAGGCGCTCAATGGAGAGCAGGTGGAGGAAGGCCCAGGGGAGACACTGGCCTTGGTCACACAGTGACTGTGGCTCCATGCACACGTGAGATGATGGAACGCACTGTGCCTACCTCAGCTTCACCGTGAACTGGATGAGCGTCTTCAGCACCATCGGCCTCTGAGGGTGGGTGGGCATGCATGGCTGCCGTTCAACCACAAACGAGCTAGATTCAAAGGAAGTCAAGTGTCACTTGAAAACACTGAACATATCGACAGGCTACAAACCACAGAGGAACAGGATGCTGTCCTCCCCTAAGGTCCACGTTTCCCACACATAGAAGACACTCAAACCCCCAGCGAAGCTCAACTCTCTCCAAAGACACCTCACAAATAACTACCAGGAGAGGGAAAATGGCCTGGAGCCCATCCCTGCGTAACAACAGTAATTTATTCTTTTCTTTTCTTTTTTTAAAAAATATATTTTATTGATTTTTTTACAGAGAGGAAGGGAGAGGGATAGAGAGTTAGAAACATCGATGAGAGAGAAACATTGATCAGCTGCCTCCTGCACACCCCCCACTGGGGATGTGCCTGCAACCAAGGCACATGCCCTTGACTGGAATCGAACCTGGGACCCTTCAGTCCGCAGGCCGATGCTCTATCCACTGAGCCAACTCGGTCAGGGCCAGTAATTCATTCTTAATGGTTAGAACTGAGTGAAGAGGAAAAGCCCCCGTCTATTTTTATCCTACTAAACATAACATAGAAAGTTAATTTCATGCCATTTTTGAAGTAGATAGTAGGATTTCTGGCACATACTAGTTTTTTCTTTTTATTTTAGATGAGCTTATAAACAAACACATGTTCTCCAGCCTTCATTTCTTAGACATGCACTTGAGAAATCCTTGAAATCCTCTTTTCCTAATTGTTGACAAATGAACTTCAGGTGGGTGATGTGCTTGGTTCATGGAAAACGGACTGGGTTGGGGGGTGGGGGGAGTACTGGTGAGCAGTGAAGGACAGAGATGTTTCCGGAACTCTCTGGAGCTTTACTCAGCTCACCCCAAGGCTTACTGTTTAGTTCCCTACCACCCCTTCACCTCAATGCCAACCCCCCAGAGGGTGTCCCTACCACTCCAAGGCCTGGAGCTGCGGAGGCATTCAACGAGAACACTCACTTCTTAAAAATGCTGCAGATCAGGAAGGTGACTCTCTCGAGCAGGTGTGGCCTCTGCAGGGGGATGGGGTCCCCTTCGTACGTCACCTTGGAAGACTGCTCCTCCAGCTTCTCCAGCTGCCTTTTGAGCTGGAACAGACTTTCTGCCAACAGCGTGAAGCTACGGAAGCAAAGGATAAGCACAGGGAGTGTCCCCACGTCATCTCTATTATTTTATCTATTCACTGTACTTAGCAAACAGTCACACATTGAACTAAATCAATCACATACTCCCCTGAGAGGTTAGTGACAGTTGCTTACATGTTTTTTTTCCCTTAATCCGTGTTTTCCTCTAAGATGCATGAGACAATGTTAAATGTTTTCAACATTTTCTAATGTGTACCTTCAGTTACAGACAAGAAATGCCTTGTAATGACCCTCTGTTTAACACAGACCGGTCTGTGGAACGTGTATGTTAAGAATTTGACACTCACCAAGGAGCAATGGAAGAGCATACTGAGAGCTTTAAAAATACATGATGTGAAGCATGTTGTGTGTAAGAATCCTGAAGAAGAAACACAATATAAAGCGAGCATGTATGTTTGCTGTAAGTCCTAGGATTAGCCTGGGACTTATCGATGGAAATCCCTGGAGAAAGGTGCCTGCATGTTCTCACTAAGCCGTGACCCCAGCTCAGACGTGCAGAGGGGAGCGTGGGCCGGGGGCCTAAGAGGGAGACTGGGATGATGGAGAGGGAAGGGGCCTCCGCTATCTACCCAGGAGGCTGCCTTCGACAGACTGGGCACATCCGTCCACGTAGCCCTGGCCCGTCCCTTAGCCCTGGCCCATCCCCTTAGCCCTGACCCGTCCGCTAGCCTGGCCCATCCATGTAGCCCTGACCGCAGCTCTTCCCACATAACGTCCATGCCCCACGTGGCCTTGCAGGGAGCACGCTGACCCCCCACTGGATGTGGAAGGAGCCCCATTTCACGGCTGCCTTTGCTGTTCATCTTGTTTTCCCAACAACCGAGCACAGGGAGGTCAGAGAACCGCTGTCTCTCCCCCGGGAAACGTGTGCATCTCTGCAGGAGCCCAGCTCCTGGCTTTCCGGGGATGTGCCTGGCGGGCAGCACTTCCCGTGCCAGTGTCCCGGTCCCCACGGATCGCACTGCATTGAGCTGTACCCTCTGAAGACAGTGTTAGATTCTGTTGACCATTTTCCTTCTTTTTAATTACATTTTCTAAGGTTTCTTTGATTCTTGCCCCGGTGAAGGGGGAAACCCACTTTTTCTGCTAACACAAAGCGCTGCCTCTGATTACCAGCGCAGATGCTGCCCTGGTCCTGGGAGACTTTCCATGAAAATACAAAAACACTGTTCTGGAAAACACAGCCTCAGGCTGAGCTTGGACGTCTTAAGGTCCACCTTCACAACGGAGGGATCTTCTCAAGCTCCTGAAGCTACGCTTCTGACGTCCCTAAGAAAGCATGTGGATCGCTGGCTTCAAAAATCCCTGAGTCTGTTTGTTTGTTTGTCTGCTTATCCTCACCAGAGGATATTTTTCCATTGATTTTTAGAGAGAGGGGGAAAAGACAGAAATACCGATGTGAGACAAACATCGATTGGTTGCCTCCTGCATGCACCCCGACCAGGGCCTGGCCGGGGAGGAGCCTGCAACTGAGGTACGTGCCCTTGACCGGAATCAAACCCGGGACCCTTTGTCCGCAGGCGGATGCGCTATCCACTGAACCAAACTGGCTAGGGCTTGTAAGATTAAGTATATAAGAAAATTAAGCAATTCTTATGCATTTTACAAATTTCTATGATGCTCTTTCTCCACAAAGGAATACAAGTGAAGAACATGTATATCACGACGTGTGTTGGTTTTCAACTGAGAAGCAGCCCCTGCTAGTCCGCCATCCACCCCGGGGAGCTGGCACTCTGACCCAAGCGGCTTTCTCCGGCTGAGCGACGCTGAACTTGGGTACATCCTGTGGTTTTCTCTAGAAACGGAAGTCAAGTGTCTCACCAGTTCTGAAGCTGGTCCAGCCCGCTGTGGAGGGGACCCCCGATGCAGGCGACCTGCTGCCGCCGCTTCCAGTCCTGCAGCTCCTCCACCAGCATGCTGCTCATCAGCAGGTCCGTCTCGCTGACTATTTGGGTCAGCTTGCCCAGCGCTTCCTGCAAACAGAGAACACTGCTGAGATGCTCATGAGACACAACTAAGTCACTCTAACTCCACCTATAGAACGATGTGTCTGACCTATACCACCTTCTATTTGCCATTCCACTGCCTTTGCGAACCAGGAAGGTCTTACAGTCAAATAATGTCATGAAGAGAAAAGCCCAGTCCCAGGGAACATTCTCTTAATATATACGCTGAGACTATCATAGAATGTGTGAGTCCTGTGACAATGCTATATAATAAAAGCCTAATATGCAAATTGTCCCTCGACCGGGAGTTCAACCACTCGCTATGATGTGCACTGACCACCAGGGGCAGCACAGAACATGGCAGGCGTTGGCGACTGGGCGCTGGCAGCGGGCGGCAGTGGAGGCACTGCTGGCCCCGATGGGTCCCGACCAGAGCAGGAATGTGGCGGGACGGTGGAGCAGGTGAGCGGGCGGCGCCAGGCCAAGGCAGATGCAAGCTGGGCCCGATTGCCCCGCCAATTGCCCCACAGATGGCAACCAGCAGTGACGGTGGGGGGCGGGTTGCCTCCCGGCTCCCAGGCGCTGAGGGAGCTGTGCAGGGGCCCAATGATCAGGCGGAGGAGGATGCACAGGGGCCCAGGGCCCAGGTGCTGCCCAGGGCCCAGAGGTCAGCTGGGACCTGCCCTTTCACGCCAGACGCTTGTGTTTCAATCGCCAGCCAGGCCTAGGGACCACACCCATGCACAAAGTTTGTGCAACAGGCCTCTAGTATTGAATAAAGCTGTCTATCTGCTTTTAAAAAGATTTATACATTGAATTAATATTCTTATAAGCATGCTTATAAACATTTATTTTAAAATGTACTGATGAAAATGTGAGCCTTTCTGTGTTAGTTGTTGTTAGTACTTTAGTTGGGTTTTTGAAGGTATAGTGGAGAAGTATAACTGTTAAAGGCCTAGGCATTCCTACCCTGGTTTTGCCACAGCTGTGTGAATCTGGATAAACCACTGAACTCTGCTGGAATTTGGTCTTCTGATCTATGCAATGATTTCCGAGGTTCTCTCTCTCCTTAAAACCTTATTCCTGAAGTTGAATAAGATGGCATGCATCAAACGTGCAGTATGCCTTTATTATGCACAAAACATTAAGTTTATCTTGGATTAACCATCTGCATGTTTAAAATCTGATATGTAACTGTTTAAGTTTATAATTTAGGGTAAAATAAGTTTTATATTTACTTGTGCTAACACAAATTCCTGCATAAAAAATGGAAACGTTCAGAAATAAAATACTGATTTATCCTATTTAATAAAATAGGATTTATTGAAAATTAAAAGAGATGTTCCCCCCTCTTTTAAAATAGTTCATTGAGCCAGAAAAAAGTCCCTCCTCTCGCTGGGAGGAGGTTAGATTGAAAAATTCAGTCTTCAGTAAACTATTTTGAAATCCAGCGCGAGGTCATTTTTCAGCCTGGAAACTGGAACACTTAACTTTCCAATAAAATGTTGGTGTCTTCGAGGAATAGTTTACGTATTTCAGTTACACATATGTAGCGGGACCCATCGCAGCATCTGATGCACAGCAGCTAAAAGAGTCACGTCTGAAATAGTGGCGAATAGAAAGCAGGTGACATGTTCACCCTGGCCTTGCTGGTAGCTACAGGCAATGTACCACGTAAGCAAGAGAAACAGACTCTAGAGCAGTGATGGCGAACCTTTTGAGCTCAGCGTGTCAGCATTTTGAAAAACCCTAACTTAACTCTGGTGCCGTGTCACATATAGAAATTTGTTGATATTTGCAACCATAGTAAAACAAAGACTTATATTTTTGATATTTATTATATATATATTTAGATTTTTTTCTTTAAATTCTTAATTAGTTAACGTATTTTATATATTTAAATGCCACTTAACAAAGAAAAATCAACCAAAAAAATGAATTCGCGTGTCACCTCTGACACGCCTGTCATAGGTTCGCCATCACTGGTCTAGAGCAAGCATGTCAAACTCGCAGGCCCGCTTTGTAAACCTAGAAGCACCGCAGACAGTATGGCCCTTTTCCTAGAAACGTTGCCATTGGCTCATTCAGCATAAATCCTTGTCAGTGGGATTAGATGCAGGACAAGGAGAAAAACAGCCAAAAGGCCAAGTTACAGCTTGTCACCGACCTTCCTCTTGAAGTCCAGGCTGTTGAGCATTTCTTGCAGAGTCAGCACCTCCTGACTCATCAGGGCGTTGTTCTTGTCACCCTGATCTGCGGGGGGAAAGAGAGCATTCTGAGAGTCTCCCCGAGACCAGGGTCTCTGCCCGCCTCAGATGCAGGAGCCCGAGCGGGGCCGTTAGGGAGGGGAGCGTGGAAGTCAGTCTGTTCCTTGTGCCAGGAAGGGTCCCACCCCAGCACGGAGAGAGGAGCTCTATGTTGCAGCCCTTGGGAGAAGACCACGCTTCCATCATGTTCCTTTTGGGGGCGGGGAGAGAAGATACAAACATCTGTATCATGGATTCCTTATCAGCCACCTCTACGTTGATGATCATCCGGGTTGGCTGACAGAAGCAGGAAAGGAAGGGGGCCTCTCCTTGTGCCCACGATTATATCGCATTTGACTCCTCCTGACGCCCCACCTCTCACCCAGGAGTTACGAGAAACTGCCTGGTGGAGTTAGTGCTTTGTCTCCTTGGTCTCATGAACTGATAACAAAGACTAAGTCCTTCACTTTCCCCTTTTCTTTGCAAAACAGGCTCCAGCCGTGGGCAAACTACGGCCTGCGGGCCGGATCCGGCCCGTTTGAAATGAATAAAACTAAAAAAAAAAAGACCGTACCCTTTTATGTAATGATGTTTACTTTGAATTTATATTAGTTCACACAAACACTCCATCCATGCTTTTGTTCCGGCCCTCCAGTCCAGTTTAAGAACCCATTGTGGCCCTCGAGTCAAAAAGTTTGCCCACCCCTGGGCTAGCCTCACAGTAAAACTAGAAGTGGGAAAGAGTTGCAAATTTTAAAAACATCTCGGACAGAAGAAAAACCAAAAGGATGTATCCTCCTAAATGGAAGATGTGCAAGGAAAATCATATTATTTAATTTAAACATCACATTTTATTGGTATAGAGCACGCGATGGTTTCTACCAACCACTCACATCTATGAAAAGTGAACGCTGGGAACGCCGATCTGACTCATGTATTTGAAAAAGAGGCACCACGCCCTAGCCGGCGTGGCTCAGTGGACAGAGCGTTGGCCTGCGGACTGAAGGGTCCCAGGTTCGATTCCGGTCAAGGGCACATGCCTGGGTTGCAGGTTCGATCCCCAGTAGGGGTCGTGTGGGAGGCAGCCAATCAATGATTCTCTCTCATCATTGATGTTTCTATCTCTCCTTCTCCTTTCCTCTCTGAAATCAATAAAGAACTATATTAAAAAAACAAAAACAAAAAGAAAAAAACTCTGAAAAAGAGGCACCAGGACAACAGTGTGTCAAATGCCCTATAAAACAGCAGATATCCCAAAAGGCATCCCTGGTTGCTTTATTTATTTTAAAATATATTTTTATTGATTTAAGAGAGGAAGGGAGAGGGAGAGAGATAGAAACATCAATGATGAGAGAGAATTATTGATTGTCTGCCTCCTGTACGCCCCACACTGGAGATGGAAGTCGAAACCTGGGCATGTGCCCTGACCAAGAATCAAACCATGACCTGGTTCATAGGTTGACACTCAACCACTAAGCCACTCCGGCCTGGCCCTGGTTGCTTTAATTCACAAATTCACTAACTCCTAACTGTGTAGCAAAATCTTGGTTATACAGCATTTTATCAACTCAAAACTTCATTAGCTAACATTTTCCCATCTCCACAACCAAGGATAGAACTTATTTTCCACATATCTTTCATTTCATTGCACTTAGAGCCAACAAAGTAAATATTTGATTTAAATGGGAAGATGATTATTTTCATTCTTCATAATTCTCATGGAGCACTAAAAGATATTAAATTAACTCTAATTGCAATATATTAAGTTCAAAGTAATTTTTCCATTTAATGTATTCTGTTATATTCTAACTAGAGGCCTGGTGCATGAATTCGTCCCCGGTGGGGTCTCTCGGCCTGGCTGGCAATCGGGGCTGATCGGGGCCATCTCGCCAGGGGGAGGGACCATGGGAGGTTGGCTGGCTGCGGCAGGTTGGTTGTGGGAGTGTACTGACTACCAGGGGGCAGCTCCTGCATTGAGTGTCTGCCCCTTGGTAGTCAGTGCGCATCAGAGCGACCAGTTGACCGGTCGTTCGGTCAACCAGTTGTAAAGGTCGCTTAGGCTTTTATATATATAGATTCTCAGAATTGATAGTTCACATATGAGATTTAGGATGAGGCTGCTTTCAATTAACTGTAAGGCTTGATGAAGTTCTCAGCCCCTAAATTGCTTTAGGATTGTGGACCCCTTTGATAATCTGATAAAACCCATGGTTGTGTCATTTCTTCTGAAGGAAAACATTGACATACACAATTATAAACCTTTTAAATAGCACTTCATGGGAGTCAAGACATCCTGAAGATGCCAGAAGAACACATCTCTCCTTACCTATGCCAGGAAAAACTAGTTTCCTAATATCCTCTCTTTTATTTTTAAAAATATATATTTTTATTGATTTCAAAGAGGAAGGGAGAGGGAGAACGGGATAGAAACCTCGATGAGAGAGACTCTGATCAGCTGCCTCCTGCATGCCTCCTACTAGGGCTCGAGCCTGCAACTGGGCATATGTCCTGATTGGGAATGGAACCATGACCTCCTGGTTCATAGGTCAATGCTCAATCACTGAGCAACACCAGCTGGGCTAACAATGATTCTTTAAAGGAGAGATTGAGATCCAATTTGTTTTTAAATTATTTTAAAATAATTTTAGAATTTAAAAGTGTTGCAAAATAATAGAGTTCCTATATATCCTTCATCCAGCTTCCTCTAATGTCTTACGTGAGCACAGTACAATGACCAAAGGCAATAAATGAACACTGATACAATCCCATGGACTAATCTAGACCTAATTTGAATTTCTCTAATTGTCCCACTAAATGCAACACACTTTAAATGATCATTACTTGTAAATCTTAGCAAATAGTCTCATTCTTTCCTTCCATTTCTTAAAAAACATCTAACTTCAATGTTTAACAACAAAGAGCTAGTCAAATAAATATCAGTATCCTTACTGTTTGATGTTTATATAATTATTAAAATTATGTTTTGAAGATTTTTTATGATATGGGGAAATACTTAAAACTTCAAAATGAAACATACAAAACAATGTACAAGATTACCTCAATATTTTGCAAAAAAAAAGATATGTATGTATTTGGACGTATAGGAAAGTGGCTTGAAGAAAGTATACTACCATTTTGACTGTTTATCTGTAGACAGTGGGAATTGGTGTGATTTTAATTTTTTTATTGCTTTTGCCTATTTTCCAAATTTCCTACAGTGAGTCACATTTCTACTTTATAACTTTAAAAATTTATATTTAAAAAAAACTCACCTAGGATGACATGACTAATTTTCTGATCATATCAGGCAGCTATTATTACTCTTTTTAATCGTGATAATGGTATTTGCTTCTATGGGAGAAGGAACTTAGTTTCTGGGGCTGCATGACAGCATAGAGGTGCCTTCTCACCGGTTTCATCACTGACTTAGAATTGGTTAGGAGGAAAAAGGATGGAACAAGAGAAACACCACTCTGCCGAACCTCCCCTTTAAAAAACACCGTTCACTTAGGGAAGGAGACCAATTTATCAATTCTGTGAGTAGAGGGGAAGCCCTAGTCATGTGACTTTTCCATTCCTGTGTAGAATTACGGATGAAACAGAAACTCACCCATCATCTGAATCGTTTTATACCTGTAGTCAAATTCATCTTGCAGGTCTTCTAAATATTTGGTGTCTTGTTCTGTTATCTTTTTATAAAAAGAAAACAACAAACACATGTTCTCTCAGTTGTTATAATTCAGCATGTCAATGAAACATCACCCGTATTTCAAAATACACTGCTTTGTTCTTCTGGTTTCCGGTAATATCGTAGACTAACCGTATAGAACCTACATCTACAAAGAGCCCATTCCCAGGAAAGCTGAGTATCACTGGGAGAACCAGACTGAATTTGCTCACCCATTGCCTCCGCCCAATTGGAAACTTGTCCTCTTGTTTCTCAGTGAGTGTCAAAGGATGCCACCAATCTCCTTTTCCACCCGAGAACATGCACCCTTCCCCCCTGTTAGTTCCATATAATTCTGTTCCATGTACCAAGGATCATGTTGCTGGGAGTCTCCTTTCCAACCCGCTGCAGTTTATGACAATTCAGTATACATTTTTCCCTCTCTACGTCTTAGAAAAAATGCTTCCTCCGTGTCTCCTGGTTCTCTCCCTGAGATTTTTACTTTTCTCTTCGCTAAACCTGCTGCTGTGTTTCTGCTCAGACACAGCAGGTATTGAGTGTCAGGACCTGGGCTCTTCATGTGTGAGCTCCACAGCCTCACAGCAGCCCTATGCCGGCGACCCCCATACAGAGGAGGAAGCAGAGGTCGGCTCTGTGAGCTGACTTACTTGCCTCAGGCCACCTGGCTCCCGGGATGGAGAGTGGCGGGCAGACCCAGTCTCCAGTAACTGACGTTAAAAAGCTTTCCCCAAAGCCATCTTTTCTAATAGGAACACAGGGTGTGAGAGACATTGATCTTACTGACAAGCCGCCGTGTTTCTGTGTGCGCGCACTCTGGACCCCAGGAGCCAGGAGCAGAGCCGGTTGCGTGGGGACGAGAGCCAGCCTTGCTGGGCATCCACAGCTCACTCACCTGCACGCTGTTCTTAATGGCGGCCACTTTGTGTTCCACGTTCCTCTGTCTTTCCGAAACGGAAGAGCTTTGCAAGGATTTCTCCAGAGGTCCCTGGGAAAAGAATGTCTTGAAATTTCAATGGTGTTGACAAAACAAGGTTTATGATGAATGTGGTATGTGGAGTATACTTCGAACTGAGGTTTGGATCAATGTGATATGAAATACTCTATAACCATTAAAAATCATGCTGTAGAAAAATATTCAATGACATACAAGTAGTGTCGTATTGTTAAAAATAGAGAAGATTATGAAACACCATATATTTATGATCTCTATTGCTTATATATGTATTTATAAATATATGGATATATGTACAGACATGTATACTCAAGTACATGTGATTGGAAGAACATCCCCCCCAAATGTTATGTGTGTTCTCCATGAATAGTAAAGTTATAGATTATTTTATAGTTAGAATTTTTTCTTAATTTGCTATAATATTACTTTTGAAATGCTCTAAAACTAATACATGTAATTTAAAAATTAGTATAGTGAAACTACATTAAGTTAGACTTAAATTTAGAATTAGACTTAACTTCAGATGAATCTGACAGCATGAGAATTATTTTTATACTGGAACAAAGGGAGTTTACGAAAGAATATGTCAAAATGTTAGCTTTGTTAAATAGAAAGGCTGATCAACTTCTCCAAGCGCTGGCCACTCTAATAATCTGATATTAAATGTGTTTGCCTCTTGCACATGCCCAACCAGGGCCAAAGATTGAGTCTGCAACCGAGGTACATGCCTTTGACCAGAATCTAACCTGGGAACCTTCAGTCCGAGGGCCGACGCTCTATCCACTGAACCACACCAGCTAGGGCGGTAGTTAACTATATTCTTGAACCAATATTGTAACACCATGGGCCAGAGCGTGACCCGTAGAGAAAGAAAATAATTTATAGATAAGATTCTACAAACAAATGCTGGAAAAATTGGTAACTATCTCAATAAAGAAGCAGAGAAAAGGATCTCACTCAAAGAGGACCCTAGGTCTTGATGACAAGTGTCCTGAAGGATGGTGGCGCCACTAACAGAGAAGAAGCTCGTTTGTGAGAAAAGATTTCGGTTCAGAAAAATTGAGCCCAAGGAGATAACAAGATCACAAGTTCAGAAAATCTTACCTGAACGGGCATGTTGGCAGCAGCCAATATTCTCCTCTCTTCCCTTAAGCAATTTGAAATAACCACAGCTACATGCATTGGATTTCCATGAAATTTTCCCTGGAAAAAAGGGAGCAGAAACAACATAAAAGCTTAAATATGTGCATCATAAAGAAACATTGCTGTTTGCAAATTAAAAAATGATATCCCAATAAATATGGAAATCATTTGGGATTTGTTCCAACTCTTATAAAACCACAGAAACTCATATTGTGAATGTAGACTTCTTTGAGGCATATTGTTCTGTCTTCAAAAATCATGTTACTTTAGGCTTAGGGCAGGTTTTAGGTGAAAGAGTTAGTCATTATGAACCACAGCTACTCACTAGTTAACTACGTGCTTCATGGTCTGCTTAACGCATTTCTCTGGTCCCTGTTTGGTGCTGTTCATGTTTGGGTGTGTTATATAAGTTAAACACTCTAACCCTCCAGGGGAGCATGTATTACCACGGTTGCCTTGGCGTCCACCACTCGCCTTACCTGCCAGGCCCCTGCTGGTGTCTGTGTTTTCTTGGTTTACAAGTCTAATTTGATCAACACCATCATTTTAGTCACAGCATTACACTTCATTATTATTAGCCTCTTTCCAAGGTAGGATTAACGGAAGGCACAATAAATGCATTTACTCTGCCCTCCTCTCTGAAGGAGGTGCCAATTACCCGTGAAATGGCCAAAAGATCAATAACAGAAAAAAAATAAAATAACAATCTACAAAGTGGGAAATTAGCAATTAATCAAAAGTAGGTTATACAGATGAGTAGACCAAGGGGTCTTTCTAGGAAAGAAATGAGGTTATTGGTTGTAAACATTTTTATGGCCACGATTTTGTTAGATGATGAATGTCAATTAGCACTTCTATTTGTAAAAGTATCCTATATAATAAAACCCGAATATGCAAATTGACTGAACGGCAGAACAACCGGGCGCTATGATGCACACTGACCACCAGGGGGCAGACACTCAACACAGGAGCTGCCCCCTGGTGGTCAGTGCACTCAGCCAGAAGCCAGGCTGAAGGCTGACGAGCGCAGGGGTGGTGGTGGCAGCCTTTCCAGCCTCCGAGGCAGCGCTAAGGAGCAGCGAGCCGGCTTCTGGATGGCGAGCCCAGCGGCTAAGGACCCCTCGGGGGATGTCCAACTGCCAGGTTAGGCCCCCGCTCCCCACAAAAGGAAGGAAATGAATTGACAGAAACTCATAAGGTAAATAAATTAAAACAATTCTACTTATACAGAGGGGCACCAAACTTCTGATTTCTGCATGCTGACAACTTCAGATTCCTTCTCGTTAGAATGTTGTTAATGTGTTCCTGTTGTTCATTTTCCATCTACCTCCCAAGAATCACCATTTTTCCCTGGTTTTTCTCACTGCTACAGGAGTTCTTTCTTGTTGATGCTATCTTTCAACATTTCTGAAAAGGTGCACACTTTTTCATTTTTCTTTCCTGCTTAAACTTCTTTTACCTTCCCTTTCAGAATCAGTTTCTCCCCAGGTCTTGTCAGGTTAAATTACTCACTTTCCTCCTTTTCTAAGAGCAAAGAATCACCAGGCTATTTTTTCACTTCCCTTTTGCGTTTCTCCTAACTTAGTCCCTCGCTTAACGTACAAGACAAAAACATCTTATGGAAAATTGATCACTGTAGAGTCAAAACCAAATTAGCACTTTTTATTTTGGTAAGTATCAAAGATGTCACCTCTCAGTAGTTACCACATGTTTGCATCTCAAAAAAAAAAAAAAGAGCAACAATACAACAAAAATAAAAAACAGACCGTCCACGTGTGGCGTGTGGAAGGAGGGAGGGAGAGACGCTGCCTTTCTGTGTGTCCGGTTTCTGTGGACAGACCTTCTGCCCTGTGGCTTGTCTTGTCACTATCTCACAGGGTCAAGAAACAGACGTTTTTAATTTGAATGACGTCAAATTCTTCCCTTTATGGCTAGTGCTTTATATGATCGAAGATATATTTCCCTAACTTGTAGTCATGGAGGATTTTCTCCCCATTTTATCTTTTTAAGTCTTTATACTATTTTTTAAAGTATTTTTTATTTATTTGAGAGAGAGGGGGAGGGAGAGAGAAAGGGAGAGGAAGGTAGGGAGAGAAACATTGATGTGAGAGAGAAACATCAATCAGTTGCCTCCCGCATGCACACCCCGACCAGGGATCCCACAACCTGGTTATGTGCTCTGACCGGGAATCGAACGTGTGACCCTTCAGTGGGTGCGTGGGACGACATTCAACCAACTGAGCAACACCGGCCAGGGCTAAGTCTTTATACTTTTGCCTTTGATTTTAATTCCCATGGAGCTGGTTAATAACGAGAGGTCCCTTTCACCTTTTTCTCTATGGATACTCAGTGCCACTGATATTTACTGAACATTCTGTGCTTCCACCACTGCTCTGCTGGGCCAACTCTGTCACGTAGCAATGTCTATATACGGATGGGCTTGCTGCTCACACCCGTTTCATCTTATGGTCCTGTCTACCAGCAAACTGTCTTAATTACTAGAGCTTTATGGTAGGTTTGATGGCGAGTAGAATAGGTTTTGTTTGCATTTCCATACAGATTTTAGAATCGGCTTGTCAAGCTACACAAACACACAACCACACTGAGAATTTGAACAGCAATGAATCTTCAGATGCATCTGGGAGACTTGGCATCCTTATAATTGTGTTTGAATTCATTTATTTAGGTTTTCTTTAATGTCTCTATGAAGAACTATAATTTTCCACAGCGATCTTAAAACATTTTTGACAGGTTTCTTTCTATGTAGTTGGTAGCTTTGATAATGAAGTAAATGGTATCTTTCTTTCCTAATTGTTTTTTAAAAATGTACCTTTAATGTTGAAAGTATTACAGACATCCCCTTTCCTTCCCCATTGACCCCTCCACCCCATCCCCTCCCCCCTCCCCACCCCCAGGCCTTCACCACACTGTTGTGTCCATGGGTTATGCATATATGCATGCAAGTTCTTTGATTTTGAATTTGGCAACTTTGCTAAACTCTTATTCATTCTAATAAGATATCTATAATATCTCTTATTCTAAACATTTATCTGTAGATTCCTTTGGGTATGATTTGCATATACAAATCATAGTAAGTATAAGATTGCATAAATACTTATATAATTTTCTTCCTTTTTAATGGTCTAGTTTCCATCAGGATTTCACCTTCATCCTAAAGACTTATTTAGAAATATGTTGGTTAATTTCCAAACATAGGGATTTTTTATTTATTCCTTTTCTGAAACTGATTTTTCTATAGATTTAAAAATTCTAATCAGAATTAATATTCTGAATTATTTTAATTACTAGAGTCCCAGTGCATGAAATTCATGCACGGGGGGGGGGTGTGTACCCCTTAGCCCAGCCTGCACCCTCTCCAATCTGGGACCCCTCAGGGGATGTCCGACTGCTGGTTTAGGCCTGACCGCTAGCTCCTAACTGCTTGCCTGCCTGCTTGCATGATCGCCCCTAACTGCCTCTGCCTGCCAGCCTGATGTCCCTAACCACCTCTGCCTCGGCCCTTGCCACCATGGCTTTGTCCGGAAGGATGTCTGGAAGATGTCTGGTCTAATTAGGATATTACCCTCTTATTAGTATAGATTTTTGTGGCCCAGCATACGGCCCTTTTGTGAACAGATGTTCCCTGTGAGCTTGTGGAGAACGGGAATTCTGCAGTTGTTGGTTCAAATGTCTTACACAGGGTCATTAACCCACGTTTGTTGATTCTGTTGTTCAAATTTCTACATCTTTGCTGATTTTTTGCTTGATTCATTTAGTCAATTATTAAAAGAGGCACGCTAAAATGTATTTTGTGTTTTTTCTCTTGTGGTTCTGTCAAAAACATTCAGACTTGTTATATATTACTAATGAGTCAAATCTTTTACTGCTATAAATTGACCTGTATCTCTTATAATGCCTTTTGCCTGAAGCAAAAAGATCAACTATGACATTATTTTTATCACTTAGAATTTTATTTTATCCGTATTGAAATAATACTTTTATTTCAACATATAGATATTTAAAATCACATTGTGCATATAAAAGGGTAAATATACATGAAACTTCATTTATTTAGAATTAAACTTTTCTTTTTAAAAAAATATATTTTTATTGATTTTAGACAGGAAGGGAGAGGGAGAGAGTGAAACATCAATGAGGAGAGAGAATCATTGATCAGCTGCCTCCTGCTCACCCTACACTGGGGATCAAGCCTGCACCCCGGGCATATGCTCTGACTGGGGATCGAACCATGACCTCCTGGTTTATAGGTTGATGCTCAACCACCGAGCCACGCAGGCTGGGCAATATTCTAATTTTTTTAATGGCATCATGCTGCAAGTTAAGTGCAGTCTGTTCAAAATCAGCAGGGAGTTTCTGATAAATGGATACTGTACATCTTAACGATAATCCTGTACAAGACATGATTTGTTCCCTCCAGCCTCCTATTGTTTTGAGATTTTGTTCATCTATTGTGAGAAATTTGCCAATTTCTCTTGCCACTGTTGCTTTGTTTATGATAGGCAATCCTTCTGCATGAACCTCAGTAATGAAAGATAATATCCCTTCTTCTACTGGTGGGCATCTTTCTTGCTTCTTACATCCTGTAAAGCACTTTTTTGTTGGTTTCCAAGAAAATATGGCATTTAGGGTTATCCATCTAGTGACAAATAATTTGCTGAATATCAAATTTATACCCTGCTGGTTTGTTTCCATTCCATTCTGCACACATGATCACTATTTGCTTCCACCCTGAATCACAGTGTTCTATTGATGACACGTTAAACAGCAATTAAACTCAACATGTGTTGCAGCAACAGTGCACATAATTCAACCGAGGTGACAACATGAAAGCTATGACTCAATTTCACATCACAGGCCATGACAGTGACATTGTGATTGCCATCGGCTAACAGCACCTCAGAAATGCTATTGGTTATAAGATGCAATTTGATTCAGAGGTGTTAAAATGTGTGTTCGTGTGGCGGGGGGGAGGTATCTTGGCATCTGTTTTAACCTTCCTGCTACTGTATGCTAAATTCCTTGGCTTTCCCTTGAGTTCT